CCCCCCCAATGCAAAATTTGTCTGATTTCGTCATGGCTTGCCCACAGACCCAAGCCAAAGAATGCTGGGCTACTATAGCGCCTGCGACACGCTGAGTAGGCCAATCCGCAAAGCAGCCGTGTGAGACTGGCGGCCTACCCCGAGTGTCGCAGGCGTTCCCTCGCGTTCCCACAGGGTACCGTGCATTGTAAGGACATCCAGGAGGCGCCTCTCGGCCGTCCCCCACTTCCCAAAGTTCTCGTCACAATTCTCAGACGACGCTAATATAATGACAGCGCCTGCAGTGGGCCGGGTAGGCCAAACCAGCCAAGCAGCCGTGTGATACGGGTGGCCCCAGTGCGGGGGTTCGGCCGAGGAGGCGTTCACTCGCCCCACTTGAACTTGAACATTGTGGGGGCGCCACACAGGGGTCATCCAGAAAGTACGCCCGTCATTCGCCGCACGAAACCGCCAACTTCAGTGGACGCAAGCTCTCAGCAGAGCGCCTGGCGGGTAGGCAACGCGGTGTCTGCACTGCACGCGTGTACTTAGGAGTGGCCTACCCCGAGTCTCGCAGGCGCCGAGCTCTCGTCATTAACCTAACGGACGTACTTTCTTGGGCGATTCCCTATTCGACAACGTGCATTATACGAGGAATTTCTCTCACCCGATGCCTCTCCCACACAGGTGCACGTGCGCAAGTTCCACGAGGGCGGCCCCTTCTCCTGCGCCAAGTGCCCGCAGAAGTTCGACGACCGGACCGACGTGCGGATCCACTTCGGTGCGGCGCACGGCAAGATGCGCTGCGCGCGTCCGGGCTGTTCGTACCGCTGCGCCAACAAGGCGTCGCTGGAGCGCCACGTGGTGCGCGCGCACCAGCCCGACGGCGAGGGCGGCGACGGCGACGACCCGGAGGATTCTGCGCCGCCCTCGCCGCCGCCGCCGCGCGCCGGGGCCGGCCCCGCCACCATCACCTGCCCCACCTGCAGTGAGGTCTTCTCGCTGAAGCGCGAGTTCCGCGCGCACGTGCGGGACGCGCACGATGGCGTATTCCCGGCCGTCACCTGCCCGGACTGCGGCAAGCCGTTCAAGTCCTCGCGCGACCTGGACGAGCACCGCCGCCTGCACACGGGCGAGAAGCCCTTCATCTGCGCCGAGTGCGGCATGACCTTCAAGCGGGCGCAGAACCTCGAGTACCACACCAAGGGCGCGCACAAGAACGAGCGCAACTTTGTGTGCCCGGAGTGCAACAAGCGCTTCATCTCCAACGCCGACATGAAGCGCCACCTGCGCTACAACCACCAGGACGGCAAGAAGTGGCACCTGTGCCCCGAGTGCGGCCACAAGCTGCCCAGCCTGTACCGGCTCAAGATGCACGTGCAGTCCAAGCACACGGGCGAACGGCCGCACAAGTGCCACCTCTGCGACATGGGGTTCGTGGCCGTCTCGGACCTCAAGAAGCACGTCACGTTCAAGCACAACAAGGAGCACCCGTTCGGGTGCGACGACTGCGACAAGCGCTACCAGCGGCGGCGCGACCTGGACGTGCACCGGCAGCGCCACCACGGCGGCGGCCAGCACTCGTGCGCCACCTGCGGCAAGGACTTCGACACGCACGCGTCCATGATGCAGCACTCGCGCTACCACACCACCGAGGAGGCCTTCCAGTGCGCCAAGTGCGGCCGGCGCTTCCCGCACCGCATGAACCTGAGCCGGCACCTGTGCACGCCGGACATCAAGAAGAACTACCACTGCCGCTCGTGCGGCCTCAGCTTCACCACCAGCGGCAGCCTCAAGTCGCACCGGCGGCGCCTGCACGCCGCCGAGGAGCCGCCGGCCCCGGCCCGGCCTGCCACCAAGAAGGGCGAGAAGCGCCAGGAGGCGGTCCCGCCGTCAACGCCGCCGCCGCTGGAGCAGGTGATGCTGCCGCCGCCACCGCCGGCGTCACCGACGCAACAGCACTACTTGCAGCCAGAACAACCGACCACCGTCGTGATGCAGCTCGTGCAGCTCCAACCCCAACACCACCAGGACCACCAGCAACACCAGGCGCTGCAGGACAAGCGACAGCTCGAGACTATCGCTCTGCAGCCCCAAGGACATCACTACCAGCACCAGCTTGAGCCGCAGCAACACCAGCTCCACGAGCCTATAGAACACCGCCAGGTCGTCGAGCCACAGCCGTCAGCAGCGCGCCAGCACCATCAACTGCACCACCACGAGGAGCACGCGGATCAGAACGCCGCCGGACAGGACTACTACACGAAGGCGGACAAGATCTGGGGTTGGGGAACAGGACCCACTGCTGCCACGGTGCCTACCCTGGTAGGCCAAGAGACCATGCTGACGCTCACAGGGTGCGCGACCTACCATGACCTGGAGGGCGCGACCCCTCAACCTCAAACCGGCCCCACCATGCATCTGCTCCCCGCCCCCGCGGCCCCCCAGCTGCACCAGGCCGTGCTGAGGTACCCCGCCCCGTCGCCACCGGCCACCACCCTGGTGGTCAAGTCAGCGCCGCCCCCGCTCGTATCGCTCCACTTGAAGGCCGACACGCACCACCCCCACATGGTGTATGCGTCGCCTGGCGCCCCCGCCCCCACGGTAAAGCTGGTGTCTGTGAGCCAGCCGCCGCCGCTAACCAGCATATCCTCGTCGGCGTCCTCGTCCAACCTGGGCCCCGGCGGTCTCATCCTGGGCGCGCCCATCCAGACCACGGCCGACGGCTCGTTCCACCTGGTGTTTGTACCGCACGGGGCCTCTGCGCCAGCCGCACAGGGTAGCAGCAAGTAGAACATAGTGTAGTGTTATCAAGAAACACTAGTGCCACGAACAAATGCCAAAATTGTCGTTGTTGATGTTAAACACATTTGTACCTGACTGTCAATGTGGTTCTGAAATTTCATAGATTGTTCGAATAGTGCTTTAAATGTGATTTTAGTACTTTAATTGCCACAAATATCTCAGTGAAAAAATAAATTATCTAGAATAGAAATGTAATGTCCATGAATTTTGACTCTGCCCTTTGCCGATTAGTCTTTTGACGGGCACAGTATACCCATATCACACACGGCCTGTGTTAGTTTGTGCCGGTCATATTTGTTATGCAATCCTAGCGGAAAGCTTCCGAGCAAAAGTGCTCACAACTGCGAAAATCGTGACCTCTTCAGTCAGTAACACATCACAATGCGTGTTCCTCGGTCTGCCCGATCAGCCTAAAAGTTAGCAATTTGTCCCAACGCCTTTATGAATGCAAACCTCAAGACAAACCGCCCTGCACACAAGACGAACTAGAAAACCGCCCCTGCTTCCGGGGTATGAATTCCCTTTGTAGATCCAACACAGGTCTTACGTTCGGATGTACAAAGTTAACAAGCAAAATCAATTGCCATTGCGAACAAGATCGTAGTGCTTAACTTCACAGGTCCTTACGCACAACGCCTTCAACGTTGCGACCCACTTTCGCCACAGCAGCAAGTTACCGTAATAGATCGTCAAGGCAAACTATGTTCCCCGCTCTGTTCAAAATAGGCGCCAACTTGAGCCTCACTGAAATAAAAGTGCTGCCAACGTTCACCTATCGACAATAATTTGTTTGTGGGTGTGGTTCATTTCCCTGAGTTTTGGGCGGAATTTTCTCATTGAAAATACAGACAAGTCTACATATGCAATGCAATAATTCATTCAATTTCTAAAACCATTACCAAACAAATGTTTTAAAGGAAAATCTCTTCATTTTTCATGTTTTTATGAGCCTACTCGAAAATTTTTCATATCTAGCTTGCAATTTGTCAAAAAAATAGTAGAAAAAGAGAAAGGTGAGAAAAGTAAAGTGCGTGGTGTGTTGATGTGTATTATTTTGGTTTTCATGGAAAAGGTTGACAAAAAATACCGGTTGTTTTTCTGCAGATGTCTCCTCTGTAGTGCTCATTTACCATTTTGATTTTGTCACATCGTTCGATCCATGGATTATTTCTGTGTTTTGAAGGTTCCTACGGGCACTTCATTCTGCTGCCGGTAAACATTATGGGGGAAATCTAATATCTTTTAGAAATTGCTTGCATTAGTCCGGTGGTTGAGGGTTTTGTGAATCACAGATTCGAATTAAATATAAGATTGAATCACTAGTAAGATATTATTCTTTTCTGGAATATTTTAATGTGGGCATTTTATTATCCCCTAACTTACGATAAACAGGTATCTCTCAATTTTCTCAAAGTTTTCTCAATTTCTCTCAGTTAAACCCTGAAAATCTTACATTGAAGTAACCTGTTTTATCTTTACTATGTCAATTATCTGATGTCAATAGCAATTTTCCTAATTGAGTGATAAAAGAATGTTGACGATATTTTCAATATGAGGTGTCAGGCTATTAATTAATTCTCTTCCCTTTGTTTTCAGTTAGTTAATTTTGTCCATTTCCTATGATATTGCTTAAATATCAATCATGAGTGAAACACATTCGCTTTTATCTGAAAATTTTGAAGAAACGGAAATGACAGAGTCTATTCCTAGTATATTGAATCCATTGCTAGAGCTGGAGCCGATGAAAGATGACATCATTTCTGCAACTGCAACTGGTTAGTGTATTATATTTATTGCTTGTTTGTTCATTTACTTGTTTTCTCTTATTTACAACCTTTTAAACCTAGTCCCCTGCCTTTAGCACCAAATTCTGTCACATCTGTTGCAGCAGCAAGTGAGAACCAACAAAATTCCAAAGAAGACTTACCATCTGAAGCAAATTTGTTCGATTTGCCAGTTGTTAAATCAGTGTCTTCTTTGAATAATTCTGAGAACCAATCAGAGGCAAACCACATTCAGAGCTCATCTGATTTGCTCCAACACCCAAGTTTAGAGCAGGATATTCAAATGGATACTTCATGTGAAAGTTCTCCAAATAATGATCAACCTCAAACCTCTGACCCGAAAGTCCATATTGAAGGAACATGTAAAAACATTGAGTCTGCCAAAGACGAAAGTTTGGATTCTATGTTACCTTGTCGTTTGTGTTCTGTTCCTTATCAGGGCTCTTCGTTAGTATTTTTGTTTCGTCATCCTCCTCACCATCCAGAAGTTTTGCCTAAAAGCATGCATGGTACTCAACGAGATGAACCATTTGATGATGTTCTCTCCATGATAAAAGCAACTTTACCTGTAAAAGTAAGGCTCTGTTTTGATGTTGTTTTTTTCATTTCAAAATCGTAAGTTCTTTCCTTGATTGGAAATTCAAATTTTCACTGTGTTGATTCAGGTGAGCTGCTGTGATAAATTGCCAAAACAAGTCTGCACAGTGTGTATTGAAAGATTACGCCTCTCTTATGAATTTAGATGTACAGTACTGAAAGCCGAATGCCAACTGAACTCTTTACGGTAAATCCAAATGTTCTGTAGCCCTATGAAATATCTACTTGGTGTAACTTACTTGAAATAATGTATGCAATTTGTGTAATTTGTTTTGCTTTTGTGAATGCAAAATTTCAGAGCTCAGCATAAATCAAATGATGTAACTGAGGCAAACTTGTCACATCGTACATTATCAACATATGAGTGTCCAGAGTGCAAGGAAACGCCTAGACAAAGTGACTCATCTGCATCTCTGATAGGTGGTAGCTATGCTTGGGAGAGTATTGTAATAAAGGATGAGCCAGAGGATCCTATTGAGCCCTCTCATGAAGAATTAGAGAAATCATACAACGAATTCTTTGGTGGGCACAAGGAAGTGCAGACCTTTAGAACTGAAGAGCGAATAACATTGAAGCCTTCAAAGCCAATGGGTAAGTTTTGCTCTTTGTTTATTTTACGTATGCATATTTTTAGTTATATTTTTGTATTTTTTAAATAAACAATTAAGGTCTAGGAGGCAGGAGGCCTAGAGGCAGACCAAGGAGCAGACCTTTGAAAGTTACACCAAGAGGAAGAAGAGGAAGACGTAGCACTCAAACAACTGTTGAAAGAATCCTTGAGCTAAGTGGCGCATCACATGATAATGAAGGTAGGTTTTCAACTATGACTTGTATTATTTTAGAAAATAAAAACAGGTTTTAATGCTATATTTTTTCGTTTTTCCAGATTATGGTTTCAGGTTGCGTAGTAGGGCAAATAATCCAGCTTCTGAAGCTCTCACTCAATGCTTGCTCTGTGACCGATGGTTACCTGGCTCTGCAGCTTGTCTTCAGCATTCACTTGCTGACCATATGGACTGTGGATCTTTCCTATGTCCGCGCTGCCCCCGAGACGATTTTCCGGGTGATTTTGAACTCATCCAGCATTATCAGGAGTCGCATTGTCCTGATCTTGAACTGTATGAAGTATTTCAGGTGAACATTTATTTTGATCAGTGTGTTTTGGATGTTCTCTAAAAAATTCAGTATTTTTGACTGCATTCCTCATAAGCAACTTTCCTATCCCTTACAGCCAGAAAGAAATAATGTGTGTCATATTGAAAACTCTGAACAAGATACATTTAATATGCATCTTGAAGTTGAGCCCCAATCAGATCATGTCATCTCCAACTCATCTGTTGTGCAAGAAAAGGAGACAGGCACAACTAATAATTCGGTTTGGCCTGTTGAAGCTATGGATTATGAAAATTTAAATAACACTCCTCCAAATGAGCTCTATGAGAGTCAGGATGAGGTGTCTTCTAATCTCTCAGAATTAGCTCCAAGGTCTTTGACATCTCATTCAGCTCTCTATGAAGAGGAATCGAATTCTATATCAACTCATGGGTCTGACTCAAACTTGGTAGCTGAAGACATTTTAACTGGTCATATGTCAGCAAGTCATGTATTGCATGATAAACTTATGGGTGAAGCTTCAAGTTTGGTGGATGAAGTGTCATTTAGTAGCTCACCATGCACCTTGGCAGTTGGAGATTTCACTAGTGATCTGAGGGCAATGGAGGAAGAAAGTCAAGATAATAGTAAAATAACAGATAAATCTACTTATTGTAGTTCCAATAACACTAGCAGTGATAATGTTAAAAATGGTGATCACCAGGGAAGCGAGTTTAAAGCACTCCAAGATGACAGTCAAGAAAGCCAGGATTCTCTTCGAGCAGATGAACTTTGTGGCTTTCAGGAGGCCATAAATGAGAAAAGCCAAGAAGTTAGTTTTAATGGAAGCACTCTCCATTTTAATGCTGACATGGTTTCATCTGGAGGTGAGGGGGAACCAAATGTCATCTAGACTTGTAATTTTAAATGTAGTGAAACCTACGTATAACAGTTTTAAGGGGAGCGTCCCAAAAATTCATTACAAACCAGAATCTGTAATGAGAGGGAATTTACCATTAAAGTAATAACCAGGGGACTGGTGGAAAATCCATTGCGGGCCCGTTATAAGTGGGTTTCATAATGTTATTTATCAAAAAGCTAGATACTGTGTGTAGGAATGTACTCAGCTTGTAAATTTCTCACTCTTTGTGCTAGATAACCATGTTATGGTGTATGCTGAATTTTAATTTTTTTAGCTATTCTGATAATTGGGACAGTAGTCTTCATTCTCAAAAATACAAATTTGAAGTGCGATATGTATGGTTTTATTGCTGTTCATTTAGGCTTCTGGTAAAAGTGTATTTACATACAGCCATCAGTATTGTATGTAGTTTTAGTACTTTTAAAATATTTCACAATGAGGAATCTCATTCATTTTGTTTCCAATGAACCATCTTTTTATTTTTGATGGTGATGGTTTCTTGTTGCCATTCATAAATTTATGAACTTCAGTATGATACAGTACTTGGAATGTAAGTAGACCTCTACCTCATTTCATTTCACTTTTGTGAAGCTGAAATTGTGTAAATATAGTTTTAAGAATATAGACATGGGCTTTTCCTGTCATCTATCAATCATCACATGTGTCCTGGAGGGCAGGAAAATTATGAATACCAATCATGTTGTCAATATTTCTTATTAGGAGTCTGCTTAAATATTCTCAACACACATTACCAGTTGAATCAAATGTTCATGTTTTATGTCCATCGAATTTATTTGGAAAGAACTATTGAAGGAGTTTAACATTGTGTATTCATTGTGTCTGTTCAGTATTTTTTCTTTATTTGTTATTTGTTGTTTTTTTTTTCCTTCAAAAATTTAGAGTCTTACTTAAGGGTATCATATTAGATAGTAACTACACTAAGCTGTTCATCAATGCTAGGTAAAGTAAAAAAAAAAATGTCTTTAGCCAACATTGATAATTGATGAGCCCATTCATAAACAGGAATAAATATAAATGGAATGAAATTAATACTCTTCTCTCAGATTAAAAGAAAAACGAAAAAACAATATGAATTCCTCTGAAACATCTATAACAACTTTTATTATGAAATTTTGTTTTACAACATCAAAGTTCTTTATCACAACTTTGAAGGCAACTCCTAAATCAATTGTATGGTACGTCATTCATTAAAACAAGTTAAAAAATTCCTTAACATTATTGTTTGTTTTCTTTTGCCGTGCTACAAATAATCCACCATGTAGTGACATTTTGCAGCTGTTAAAAAAAACTAAATTTACCTTGATGCCTTAGGAGAATCCTAAGAAGGTTATACAGGATACCTATGCAGTTACAGAATCTTTAGAGCTAGCATCTTTTTGATTTTCTTTCTCCAATAACTCATAAACAACGAGCGTAACTCCTGGATGGAGCATGTACTTCTTTTTATCCGGGCGCATTTTGTTTGCAAATACATCATGTCTCTCTGTTTTTTTCCACAGGTAATAAAACTGCACAATTTCACTCACAGTTCTTGTCCGCAATCTTTGTGCTTGAATCGTGTGAAAGTCTTTGCCAAAAGTAAGGATTCCGTTTTCGAAATTTCTGCACTCCTCGTCTGTCCACGGAGCCGAGGGGTTTGACGCTGCAGGGGGCGTGGCTCGCCGTCTTCTCAGCGCCTCTTCCACGTTATGATTACTCTGCATGAGGAGGAACAGGGCTTGCTCGTCGTCTCTCGTGTGGGAGCCCATGGGCAGCACGTCGATGCCCACAGCGCTGCTCTCTGTCAGCTCGTTGCTTGTCTGCAGGTACTGCTCGATGACCTCGTTGTCCAGGACACCCCTGGGCTCCCATAGGAGCTTGTCGGCATGCTTGTAGGGCCGCTCGGTGTTGTACTTGGAGAAGCCCTCGGGGACCACGGCCTGGTACGCGCTGCCAATCATGATGGTCTTGCGCATCTCCTCCTCCTCGCTGCTCGAGTAGTCGTCATAGCTGTCCTCGCTCATGGCACCCAGCGCCGGCTGCCTCGCCGTCACCGTCCTCCGCAGTCTGGTGGGCCGCTCGGGGGCGTCCGGGACGGGCTCGTCGGGCGGCACGCTGTGGAGGGAGAGCCCACCCACGTCCACCTTTTCCAGTGGAAGGGCGCGCGTGTTGCGGGTGTGTGTTCGGTCGGGCTGGGCCTCTTCGGACCCACTACTGGACCGGGACCCGTCCGGAGAAAGGGTGTGAGCAGCACTAGAACCAGCCTAGACAAAAACAAAACAAAACAGGCAAGTTAAATGTGACATCTTATTTTTGTCATTTTTCGTAAAATAAGGGCTAAATTTTCAACATAAGAGAATAGACGGGGCAACTTTTTAAATGTCTAGTTGATACCGGTCTGACTAAAACTTCTATAAAGTCAAAACGGCAAAAAACAAAGAATGCCGGCAAGTTCTACCGATTGAGGTTCCACCACTAAATTTGCAACCAAGCTGAAAGTGATTTATAGGCTGCTTAGACCTAACTGTGGAAAGTGCAGTGCAATGCAATAAATGAATGACCAGCCGTATTCAAGGTGCACAAAATCAAAATGTGCATTGAACAAGGCGAATAGTAGAAACCAAAATTGGAGTCCTTTAGGGTTAAGCAACTGAGGTGATAAGTAAGATAAAGAAAAGTTGTCCTAATGAATTGTGACAACGATGTTGATCTATCATCCGGGTAGTGACGAAGGTATACTAAAAAACTTGACACTTTAAAAAATGAACTAAATTATGAGTAAGGTTAAGGAAATACACACCTGAGCCGGTAAAGGCAATTCTTGGTCGCCCAAACCTCCTCTCAATTCCGTCTTAATTCGATTTGAAGTTGAAGATCCTGAAGAAGAAGGATCTTCAACTTTGATGGTTGCAGAAGTAGAGGTAGTCGAAGACTTGTCATAAACAAGATCACTAGCGGCGCTCCCATCTCTGTCCATTTGATGTTCTTGCTTCACTTTTTGATCGAACTCCATTCTAGAAAAGAATATCGCTACAAGCTTCCCGTAGTTGAAGGAATCAGGAGCTTTCACCCAATTCGCGTATACAGGCGATATTACATTGAAGTTTTTTGGATAACAGACAACGAAGTATTAAACATCATACGCTAACTACGCTGACACAACAAAAACAATCGGACGTCAGCCGAAGCTGCGGCTGCCAATAAGGAACTGGTCTGTACCTTAACTATTCACAGTTAATGGCTGCTTCGTTTGAGCATTGACACCAAAACACAACAATGTGAGTACAAAACTCAAAATTACATCCTAGGAAGAGTGAGCAATTTTCAAATATTGTTCTATTTTGCTTCGTCAACTGACATGTTTGTATCACCAGCATTTTATTTCACATTTTTCTGTCTATCGTTACACCTTTTTATACTTTATAACCTATCGGTTCCCTCTTGACACAGACTATAATTGTATGCTTGTAGCTAGTGGTCCTCCAATCATCTAAATTCCTTTGTATTATATTGGCGTTTTCTAAAATTTACTGTACTTAACCTCTAACCTGTAATCAATATTAAAGACTCACAACTAGATACTTGCAGCTGCAAACTAACTGTACTAAATTCAAGTTATAACTTGTCACTTGCAAAGATTTTTTTAACGCTGAATCCTTTTGTAATGTATAACTTAAAAGTCTTTGTTTTTTCTGTTGTAATTTGGGTAATTTCTTGCAGTACTGTTGTTGGATTACCTTCTTGATTTACTATGAAAGTAAGGCATTTTAGCTATAATGTTGACCCAGCCACTTGCTTGCTTCGCTTGCAGGCCTGGAACAAAGTCTGGCTTTGACTTCTTCATGGACTGAAGCATGCAGAGCTCAGACAGCTCTCTGCCATCCAGCCCAGCTCTCTCTGATGACTGCGAGAACATCACTTCTCAAGAATATAATAATGTCATTGCCCGTAGTCGTTGGAGGATTCTAGCCCAAGCATTACATAAAAATGGTTCTCCTTCTACAATGCCAAGTTCCATTCGTAGATTTCAAAGTTATGGACTTGTCACTGCTTTACCTCTTCAAAATATTAGTGAAGATGGTGCCATGTGGTATGAATACTCTGCCACTGTTGGCCAAGACATGTTCTCTGTTCTTGTCCGTCACCCTCAACGCAATATCACAGCATATGATCTCATGGGGTTTAACAACACTGGGAATATTTGTGTGTGGCCATCAGAGGAGGTACTTGCATATTATGGTCTCTGTAATAAACAACTTTTTAGTTGTAAGTCAATACTTGAAGTTGGAGGGGGTATGAGTTGTTTGGCAGGTCTTATGATTGGAAAGTACACATCAGCATCAAAAGTTCTTCTTACTGATGGAAATATATTTTCAATGGAAAATGTTGGCTGTATTTTAGAGAAGAATGGCTTTGGGAAGTCTACTCGAATTACATCATCTGTACTTCAATGGGGGAAGCAGCCCACATTAAACATCATCAACCAATCTGTTGAATTACCAACTTCCCGATATGATATTATTTTGTGTGCTGATTGTTTATTTTTTGATGATGTTCGTCAAGACTTGGTTCAGACTATTTTTAATTTCATGGCTGATGATGGTATAGCTCTAGTCACTGCACCCAGGAGAGCTGGAACTCTGGAAAAGTTCTGTGAGGAGGCAAGCAATGCTGGTTTTATTTGGAGCTTAAAAGAAGTTTACAATGAGCATATTTGGGATAGACATCTTCAGCTGAAAGCAAACAATGAAAGCTATGATGAGAATATACACTACCCTCTTCTTTTGCAACTCCAAAAAGCATCTGTTTGTCTTTAAAATTTAGATGAAGTCAGAATTTTTAATTAATGTATTTGTTGGAAACTTAAATAGCGTAGTTACCGGTAGTTTGTGAGTCTGGTCTGCTCTTGACGTTTTTGTAGCCAAGAAAGTGCGTGTGGTTTCATATCTTGATACAGCAGTTTAAACTTACTTGCAACAGCTAAAGAAATGTCGGGTAACAGGGAATTTTCTGTTTAAGTCTTAAGAAGCATCTTGCGTATCTAGTCATTGTACCAAAACAAATGATATTTATTATACTCTTAAGATTTTGGGAAACCGAGCACATGTAAGACTGTCTCATATCCTTTGTATAGCATGATATAGTATTGTGACAATTGACTAATCATGGTGCCAAAAATTATATTTATTCTAGTTGTTTTATCTAGTCCATTTTGTTCATCTGTTAATCAACTAACATCAATTAACGAAGCTTAAATCCCTTAAATGCCCTCAATTTTATGTACAATTAAGGCTGATGTTTTCTTGTATGTACAAATATTGAGTTACACAAACTTTTCAAAAGAATAATCTTAGTCTAACTATCTTCAAATTTTATTTTTGATTTGTAACACTCAAGTTAAATTTTTTTTGTGTCGACCTCAACTCAAGACTCAAATTAATTTGTAAGAAGATTTTTTTTCTCATTCATTTAAGTCATACCCGGATGTAACAATGTTCCTCAGGAAAGCAAAATCGTGATGTTATAAGCAGGAAATGCTCTAAGCATATTTCGATATGAAATTATTATTTTCTATCACAACACTAATCCTGGGTAATGCTAAATCCATTTTTGACTGTAGTTCTCATGCGTAATTCTAACTGTTCATTATTTTCCTGGTTAATATGGGACTTTAGCTGGTATATATACTGCATAATCCATCCATGACATGTGATGTAAGAGTTTTATATGGAGACATAGTTCCTTGCATAGGTTCAATGTGACTTTAGTATCATCTGTGATGTAAAAGCCTTTGACATGAGAAAAATTGTAAAAGCTATTTTATGAATCTTTAATATTTGTGATGTGTTTGAATCATAACTTGATTGATTAATTTATTGATTGATTCCAACTGAACTTGTTGTTTGTGAACTATACCACTTATTTGTTTGTTGTTTTTATTTCAATAAATGTTTGAAAATTGCTCTACTCATGATTCCTTTTGCCTTTGATTATGTCTCTTGTCAGTGATCATTGCCCTTCCAGGCTTCCTGTCTGTGTTTGCAATAACTGTTCTACTTTGTATTCACAGGGCGGACTATTGGATATCCCAGGCCCGAAAACAGTGTGAATTCTGCAAATGCTGGATCGCAGACAATAAACCGGTGAGTATGATTTATAAGGAAAGTATCAGTGTGCTATACAATTAAGGACACTTACTATTAATTAACGTTGTCTTCTTATTTAAGTCAATTGCATTTCATGAAAATGGAAAAAAACATAAAGAAAATGTGGCAAAGAGATTATCAGAAATCAGTAAGAAAAGTGCTAAAGATGCGAAACATCAAGTTCAGATTGACAAAGACATGAAGAAAATGGAAGAGGTAACTTTTTTATTTTAACCTACTTGCTCATTAAAATGTTTTACACCTTCCAAAACTAATTCATCGTACTAATAATTTCTAGGCTGCTCTAAAAGCATATATGAAAGACATTCAGGATTCAGGCAATGCAGACTTCACTTCTAAACTTTTGCTGGATGGCTTGGAACAAAAGCAAAAGGCAGCAGAGGATGCTGCAGAGCAGCATGCAGAAGCTAAAAAGGCAAAAGAAGCAGCCAAAGTGCAGGAGAAAATTGAATTTGATCAGAAGAGAAGGAGGGTGAAAGAAAAAGCCTCCACAATCAAGTGGTTTGAAGCCCGGTCTGATGAAGGCTACTCATATTATTGGCATACTGATACAAATGGTTTGTTTCTGAATTCATACCTATAAAGATTAGATATTTATAGATATTAAATACAACTGCGTTTTTGTTTGTTTGTTTTTTCTCAAAGAAACTTATTTTTTTTTCTTCTTTAAAGAAACTAAGTGGCATGCTCCAGCAGAAGGCTACATAACTATTGCAGAACAGAAGATTTTAGATCAATCAGAGAAAGCAGATGCGAATGCTGCAAAAAAGAAGGATAAAAGTAAATCGTTCCCCTCGGGTAAGAAACGGAAGTCTGGTGAAGGCTCAGCACAACCAACATATAAAAAGAGATTTCCTGAAAGCAAAGTATCAGAGCCACCCAAGCAACCTCCAAAAGCTACTGCAGTGATGGGCCCAGCTCCAAAACCAAACCCTTATGGGTTATGGAAAACTGTAGAAACACGGTAATCAAAAATTTCCACATAATGCTAAAAGTATATTAAAATAATGAATGTGTCACACTGACTTTGGTACTCTTTTATGATTACAGAGTGGAAGAAAAAGTAGATTGGCAGTTACCATCACAACCTCAGGAGGAAGTTCAATTACCAACTCTTTCAGAAGAGCGTACCAAAATTAAATTCCACGAGAAAAAAGTTACTAAGCCTATTGATGATGATGAGCCTGGTTCAAGTCAAACATCTTTTGTCGGCTTTAAAAAGAAAGGTAATTTCCGCGGAAATGTGAGACAAAGATTAGAAACAGATGATTGAGACAAACTATAAAACAATATATTCGTGTCCCTGTTTTGCCTTTAGAGGTTGCTAGCTAGTTGTCTCTAAAAGCTGGCAAGGCAGGGCATATTTCTCCTCATAAAATCTTCAGATGTTCAGCAAAAGTTTTATTATTTTATCTCTAAAATCAAAGTTGTTCTTTTGATGTTTATAGTTTTCATGCCAAAATGTAAAATATCAGGTTAAATAAATTATTAGTTAATGTATTTTCTGTGTATTATGGTTTATTTTAATCACCCAAGAAACTTGTACTAATCACCAGGAAAGATACCTCTTTTCAAAATACATTGTATCCTTTGATTTTCAAATACCGGTAAAAGGGTATACAATTTTCACATACATAATATACATACACTTGCAGATGAAATTACATTATGTCACATTGAGCTACCACATGGAATGATGCTAGTGCTCATATATCTATATATATAAAAAAAGAGATGAAGTAACAAATAATACTGTCAATATTTTCCAGATAACATCACAAACATTTTGATAATATAAATTGTGGCACACTCTCTTCCATAAGAGATTAGTCTTATCGTATGGATTGAAACACACTATCAGTCCAACAGTCTTTTGCATTAGTCCCCATTTTTAGTTGTGTGTCTCACTTGCAGTCCTCTTTTTTCCCTGTAAAATAAATGCATGTGTGCAAGGTGTCAAAATGCTGTAATTCTAAATCCTGTAAATCCATGTAATAAGAAGAGAAAGTTCAGACTTACTCCTTTCCCTTTGCCATCAGTTGATGTATGAGAGTTGGCTTTGGAACGTTCTTGTTCCAACTGAACGTGGAGGTTAGCCACCTCCTCTGTAAGCTCGTCTTTCACACTTTGCAGCTTATGTAATTCTACTAATATTTCAGCCTTATCTCGTACTGCGAGTAAATAAAATAATTATTCAACATTTTCAATAGGTATAGGAAATTATGGCACACAAAAAGAAACAAAGTTCTACCTTCTGATTGGCCAATAATAGAGCAGAGCTGCTTGTTGCGAGATTTAACTTTGGTAAGATTTGCTTTAACTTGAGCAAGCTCTTCACTTAAACTAGCAATTTCTGCGTCTTTTTCTTCTAATTTGACTTGATACTGGGCAATTGAAATAGCTTCATCCAAAAGAGGCTGTGATTAAGAATAAGAGAATAGTTGACAAGTCAAAACGCATAATTGGAGTCTTTTCAGCAGTCCATGATAAAGTTTATCAATTGGTTAGTAGCGAATACTTACCTCCCGTTCTTTAATTTTCTTTTTGGTTTCCTCTTTTTGAATGACTTCTTTTGCTTCTAACTTTATTCTACTGAAAAATTCAGGATCTTCAACAGCAGTGGCCCCATTTTCAACATGTGAGTCTTTTTCTTCAATATCATTTCCCGTATTCTCCTAAAGCAAGAAAAACACTTTTAATGTACATATTCTATAAAATTACTCATCCTAGTCCTCAAAGGTCACAAATAATACATTACTTGAAAATTCTTAAACTCTTCAAGAGTCATTGCCTTCTTCTTCTTTTTGCCACCAGCTGCTAGTTTTTTGTCTGCCTCACTTTCTTTCCGAACACGATCATAAAAGTCTTTGTTCTGCTCGTATTCTAACTTAGACTGGAGAATAGCCTCCTGTAATTCTCCTGCATAGTTTTCATCTACATACTGCAAAATACAAAAGTACATAATTCTGCAGAAAATGTCAAAGAAATGTCCCTTCATGTTAAAGTCTTCGCATTTATTTACCTGTGCATCCTTTTTTTTCCATTCCTCCCACTGAGCATCAGTCACAACTTTAGCTTTGGGAGGTTTACTTTTGCTTTTAGAACTACCACCCGCCTGCAAGAAATTTTGGTATTTATAACACATTTTCGCAAACTTCATCACATCTGAAATATTTCCAACTGTGAAGTATTTCAAGGGGACCAAGGTAAAGAAAATGGGGGAGGAAAGAAGCAATCTTCAGCAAAGACAATAGGGAAAGCAGTGATATTCTGATCTAAAAGGGAATGCCAATATATCAATCATGCATGTTACTGCTGGACACTGATTAACCCAAAGCAACCGACCATGAACCGTATGCTTCATGACTTGGTGTCTGAACATATCTTATAGTAAAGGCTACAAAAATGTAAAAATGACTAATCCCTTCCTGGTCCTTTTTGATAACATACCGTCTGCTGCCCGTTTTGGGGACTAGGACCAGACTTTTTCTTGGAGGAGGTAGCCTTGCCATTTTGATTGGGCTGCTTTTTAAGATCTACTTTCTCTGCCTTCTTCTTATTCGGGTTACGTGGATTGTCTTCACCCTCGATCTTCAGCACAGAGAATCGTGATGCTATACCAAGCATTTCGTAAATTAGTACGAATTAAAAGCGTTTACGACAAACGAAAGGGGGGTAACCTGACCCAGCGGCAAGCAACTACAACGTAGCTGAGCCTTGCCCGACCAAACTTGGTCTGAAATGTAAGAAAGAATCACCAATTAACTCTGACAATGAAAACGAATCATCCATATACAATGGTTTCACAATGAAAATCATTAAAGTACCGTAAAACAAAGGAACTGCCGCTTCAGGGCAGAGGCTTTAAAGCACTGAATCGTCCATCTACAAAAAGATGTGCATTTGTGATCTGCGGACAACGATGCACTTAGCCACTGCAATATGCAAACAGCGTTTTCCAGTTGGAGAAAAATATAGATGAATTTAATTTCGAACACCACTGAACTCGGCGTGCGGCACGAAACAAGCAACACAACACAACACAGCAAGAGCCCAAGAACAAGTGCGGACTTGTTTTTGTTGTTCAGTGTGTTGGGCAGTTCAGGGAAGAAAATGTGTCTGGATGAGACACTACTGGGTGCTTTTCATTTGCGACGACCATAGTTGACCATGGTCGACTATGGTTGACGATGGTGCTTTCCTTTATCACTCGTTTAAAGACTGCAACCGGGCGTTTTTGAGAAGGCGGCGGGTAGCAGACAGTTTTCTGGTCTATTGTTTGACAACAAGCGGAATACGAGAAGACTCAGTAAAAGTGTGAAATTAAGTTTACTTACTGCAGTTTGCTTTGAAATATCGTTTGGATGCTGTGCTGACGAAATTATAGACTTTGAATTCGACGTATGCAAGGTATGTGTGCTCCGATATCTCTGATTTTCACCAGAGAGTCTGTTACCGTAGGCTGAGCACCTCGTGTTTACTTCAGAACTGTACTAATACGTATTTTATTCTTGTACTTTGTGTATTATTTATTTGCAGATGGACTGGAACGAATTTATTAGGAATGATTTGGAACGCGGAGTCCTTCAAAATGTCCCTTCTAGTAGCAGTAGCAGTAGCAGTAGCAGTGAGGCAAGGTCAGACAGTTCTGACTCCAGTCTTGAGGATGCTATCCTTCTGGACTCCAATAGCGAATCAGAAGATGAACGTGATGAACTGGCACAGCTATTTGCTGGTTATGCAAACATACAGTTTGGTGCCCCTCGATCAAGAGTTGACAACTTTCTGGAGATTGTCAGGGAAAAAAGCGATGAAGAATTTCGTAGTGACTTCAGACTGTACCGACCTGTTGCTTATGAACTAATTGGTGAATATTCTTACAAAAAGTGTTTCATTTTGACATTATAATTTGATGAAATAATCATTTCAATCTTACACACTGCAGCTTCTTTGGATGCAAGTGGAGTCCTCCCCAACCATCTTTTTGGGAAAGAGAAAAAGAGTGCAGAGTTCAGCTTTTTACTGTTTCTCTGGTTTGTGAGCTGTGGCTCCATTCTCAGAGATATTGCCAATACATTTGGATGTGGCACAAGTACTGTGTTTAGAGTGGTGCGTAGAGTTACTGAGTGGCTTACAACCATTTCGAATGAACATATTATTTGGCCTAGAGGGGGAAACATTGAACAAACTGCCGCTGCATTTGCTAGAGCTGGAGCTAATATTCGCAACTGTATTGGTGCTATTGATGGTTCCCACATCTTCATTGAAAAACCACCTGAGTATGGAGTGGTTTATTGGTGTCGCAAGGAAAGGTATTCCATTGTACTTCAAGCTGTTGTAGATTTTGATAAGTTGTTCACCAATGTCCATTGTGGTGATCCTGGCTCTTATCATGACACTCGTGTTTTGAGAAGATCTGAATTGTACAATATTGCAGAGCGCAACCTAGAGTATCTTTTCCCGAATGGAACATTCCTATTAGGGGACAAGGGATATGCTGGTGTGGGTAAAAAATGGATAGTCACTCCTTTCAAGGACTATGGGAATCAAACAGCGGAGCAGGCCGATTTTAATACTAGAGTGTCCACAACTCGAGTTGTTGTTGAGCAGGCTTTTGGCATTTTAAAGAATCGTTTCAGATACTTGAGGGGAATTATGCCACTTAGGGATGTCCAATTTGCTGCACAATTAGTTGTAGCTTGCTGTGTTTTGCACAATATTTGCATAAGGAGTAATGATTATGGAGAAGACTTCAGAGAGGATGCTGAGGATGAAGATGACAATGAAAGTGAAGGTGAAGGTGAAGGTGAACATGATGACAATGCTCCTGTGAATATTCCTGATAATCGAACACTCGAAGTCTTTAGACAAATGTATCCTGGTGCTGCTGAACCAGCAAATAGGCGTGTACGCAACAATGATTAATTTGAATGCATGCAACAACATGTGCTGTAAACAAGTGTTATAGTAAAGGCAAATAAGATAAGGCTAATTTCAAGTCAAATGTTTTATTAAAAATTTTACCCAAAGATCCCTGTCAATACCTTACATCACAGCGCCAGGTTTGTCAATAAATATCACAATAGTCAGTCTTAATGGAACACACAGCAACAGTCACACCCTTAAACCCCTGTGAGAAGGATGTCACTGCATGTTCCATTAAGACTGAACACGAGTGATATCCCTTTCACACTTGGGCTGGGTTGCTGTGCTTACTTATAATGATTCACAACACTTTTTGGCCACAGATAAAAAGTAACAACACTTAATGCAAAGTAAATAAACCATTTCTACAAAACAAACATCACAGCGCCAGGTCCATCAAAAAATATAACAATAGTCAGTCTTAATGGAACACACAGCAACAGTCACACCCTTAAACCCATGTGAGAAGGATGTCACTGCATGTTCCATTAAGACTGAACACGAGTAATATCCCTTTCACACTTGGGCTGGGTTGCTGTGCTTACCTAAAATGATTCACAACACTTTTTGGCCACAGATAAAAAGTAACAATACTTAATACTAAGTAAATAAATTGTTTCTACAAAACAAACATCACAGCGCCAGGTTCGTCAATAAATATCACAAAAGTCAATCTTAATGGAACACACAGCAACAGTCACACCCTTAAACCCCTGTGAGAAGGATGTCACTGCATGTTCCATTAAGACTGAACACGAGTGATATCCCTTTCACACTTGGGCTGGGTTGCTGTACTTACCTAAAAATAAGTGAACGACACATAACAATACTTGTTGATACAAATGGAAAAAAAGACAGGATAAATTTCTACAGCATATTGTGCACACTACAAAAATTAAGATAAGATTAATTCTAAAAAGTACGCTGCTCTACTGCCACTTTCATTTCGTAGAGTAGTTTCATTCTGTCCTCTTCAAGTTCAATGAGTCGCCTCATTTGCTCTTCTTTACGTTTGTCTCTTGCTTCCTTTCGCTGGAGTTTCAGTTTTTCTATCTTGATTCTCTCATCCTCTCTTTTTAACTTGTCTTCCTTCAACTTGTGCAACTTCCCCATCAGATCAATTTTCTGCTGCTCACCCTTCATACGCAGTGCGTGGCGCTCATCTACTTGTTTCATGCACCTCAGCCACTGCGACATAAGCGTGTTCCTCGAAGACGCCTGCTTGGATCCACTTCCATGGGTCTGCTTTGGTAGTTTACTGTATGGTTTCCTAACTGGGGTCTGTAACTGGGGCGTGTTTTCTTGGTCTTCCACATTGTCACCATCAGGAGGAGCAGTGAGGGAGCTGCCACAATGAGCAACCTGGTCGTCAGGAATCTCTCTGGGAACTTCTTGTTGATGAAGAAGATCCTCCATGTACTGCTCCATGGCAGTATAATTTTTCGGCACACCACCTGAGGCTGCTGCCCTTGTTTTCTTAGCCTTACGGGTCCTATCCAAATTGAAGTACTTGGTCCTGCAGTGAACACCATTCATTCCTCCTCCAACCTCTGAGGCTACGGTGTTCCAGAACTTGGCGGAAGTGGACTTGTTCCTGGACATTTCTGGAACGGCAATGTCCAGAAGCTTGGCGGTTAAAGGATCAGGCCAATGCACCTTAGAATCTTGAGAGCTTTGAAGTTCAACTATTGGGTTGGATTGATGAGGAACAACTTGGGATGGCATCATGGAAGGGGCACGCTTAGTGTTGATGATGGTGAACTTCCCCAATGAAATGAGTCTCTGCAGCTCCTCGGCAGATATAGCCCTGCCCGCAACGTTTGTCAACTGGAAAGATAGAAATCTACAGATAAAGAGATATACAATGCAAATGAACAAAGCTTGCCAGGGCATGATGCTTCTTGTTCGATTGCATCAAAGATTTCGGTTTAGAGTTGTACATTGATATTCTCGATTTTATGAACAGAGAACGAATTCTAATGCTGTTTTAACGTTACTGAAGTAATATTGCACTATACGGCCGCTTTTAATCATTGATTCAATCATACATTCATTCCATCCTAACCAACTACATCACTGTTCACAATAGTACTGGCGAACAGAGTTAGTCCTTTAGCCTCTTACCTGGTTTATTTGAGAATGAAAGTTCATGGCAGTAGCGTGGCTTAGATTAAATAAAGAAATTCAACTAAAATTATCACAAATATTTCCTTCGTTTACTCTGAACCACGCTAATCCACCGACTCGATGAAACACTTTCCCGCCTGCTTCTTCTTCATTTCTTCAGCCAACCACGCAGAAAGGCGTCGTTGGGATTTTTCGACTATGGTTGGCAACTACGGCTAATGAAACGCACCGTCGTCCGACCATAGTCGACCATGGTCGATGATCGTCGCAAATGAAAAGCACCCACTTGGAAAAAGAGGAGAGGGGGTACTTCACATCCCCTTCCTCTAACTTCCGTGGTTCAGGCGGGAAATCTAGCGAGACGAGAAACATGGCGTCTAAGTATGAAACTAATGTTTTTATAAACTTTTAATCAAATTTGATAACAACTAAAAATATATTGTGTAGTATTCTCTTATAGAATTAAACGGAATGGTTTTTCCAATGATTCCCTTGAACTGTCATTGTTCTGTTTTCGTACATTCTAGTGTAATAGATCAACTGCTTCAGCTCTAACCTTTTCAAATGAATCTTGTTATTTATTTATATTAGATCTGATGAAAGTTCTATTATTATTAACTGGTCATAGGTAAATTATGAGTTTTGTTTGCAGATACAATCGAACAATTGAGGAAGTTCTGTCTGTTTTAACTAATGCCAAAGTGTCGGAGAAAGACTTGACACCTGTTACGCAGGTTTTGAGTTTTTCAGAATCAAGTGAGCTGGAAGAAAACTTACTGCTGCTGGAGCTGGATAACAATCTTTTAGGTTTGCTTAATAATGGTGACAGGTGAGTGGCCCAATTAACTTCAAACCTCTTTGGCATTTCAGTGATAATCTGTTCATACATTCATAGCAGTTTTTCTTTTTCATAGTTTGGCATTCAGGGGTGACAAAAATGATAGTGCAGTCATGTGCACTAAGAACAAGACTTTTGAAGTTAAGACTGCTGAAATATCAAATTCATTAGCACTAGTACCTGAAATCCTCTGGAGTCAAGACACAAATGATTCAATTGAGGACAGAAGTCTCACCGAAAAGAATGTAAGACTTGTTAAAATATTTGATTTCATGTGGATTTCATTTTAAATCTCAGCTTTGTGGGCCTAACTTCAAATAATTTTCAAAGGTTGTGAAAGTATTCTATGAGTACCTTGAAGTACGACCTTGTGGTCCACGTCTTCAGAAGTTAAGATCATTACTTGAAAAAGGACAGTATAGTGGTCCCGAATATGAAGATGATATCAAAGAGAGTGGTGTGAAATTACTCACATTCCATGATTTACTTCATAAAATACAGGCAAGCGAAGAGGAATTATACGCAGCCCTGAAAGAAAACTTTGCGTGCTGCATTGATGGTACCTTCTTGAATCTTCAAATTTCATGATGTCAATATTTCCTTCACAAATACGTAAAAAAAAGTCCCTTTCTTCTTATCAAGGTTTTTGGAGGTGTTTAGAATTTAACTACCACTTCCGTGTACTCTCTTCAATTCTTAGTCTTCTTGATGAAAACTCGTGGCCAATAAATGGTGTGCTTCGCCATGAAGTTTTAGAGACATTAAATGATCTTGTCCCAGAAGTCATACTAAATCATCTGATGGACTGGTATACTTCAGAAAACCCAAATCGTGAGCAACGTTTCTGTCTTAGATCGTAAATTATGTCAGTCACTGCTGAGTGTCTAACAGAAAAGTACATTGTTGCAGAAAACACCTGCACTCTGAGAGATGACAGAATTTGCAAAGTTCTTGGTGAAGTGTTGCTTCGGCCTGCTGGAAAATGGAATTTACAAGAATTTCTTACAGCTTGGCAACAAAGTGTACCTGAAGGTACTGTAACTTGAGTTTTATTGTGGCAGTCTAGTTGCTTGTCTTTTCTTACCTCTAATCCGTATAAAATTGTATATCTCCAAAGGAATGGTAACAAATATGAAATATTTAGAAGGTATTGCTATAAAAGATACCTCATGCCAACCACAAGTTGTGCGCTATTTTCCCGAATGGGAGCTTCCAGAAGATATTGGCGAAAGATTTAAGGTTTTGTTTCAAGCAAGGGAGAAGTGGACTATTGATGATATCCGCCCTTTTGTGGAGTAAGCTTATGTAGTCTTGGTGAATATTGAGGTGCCAGCATCAATTATTTAGACATCCTTTGTAACTCATTTTATTTCCAGGCGTTTGACCACAAGCAAGATGAATGTGAATGCGCTGTTGACTAAACATGCAAGAGCATCAACATTGAATGGAACAAAGTATTACAGCGCAAGACATGGCAAATAATGTTATCTGTATTGTTTCCACCAATTTTTCTGTACAGTAAGTGTATTTCTCATAAATTTTAAAGATAGCTGTAATAGCTGCCATTGTAATTTGTACTTTGGTGCAAAGAATTTTACAAGAGCTGAGCAAATTTAGTAACAATTTAAATTATAGTTCTTGTACTAATTATTCAACAAGGTTCTTTCGAGGAATCGACAAGTGTTTGCATGGCGTAAACTACTTTGAGGATGATCATTGGAGACATAGCACACATATTTCACACCACACAATGGAAAAAAAATAATATCTAACACCAACAACAAATCTAGAATAAGAGTATTCTAGAAATTTAAAATTTACCACTACATACTAGAGTAAAAGTATACAGAAGTAATCTTTACAGTGCATTTACTACCTCAAAAATATTTCTTTTTCTCATGAACACAACCAAGTAAATCACTATTATTAAAAATACTGACAACTTCAACTCATTATCCAACTTAATAAAAATAACGAGTCTAAAGGGAGAAAAGTAGCAAAAGTACATTCACAATGACTTTGCATAATTTTTCAAACAGGAGTGGCACAAACAAAATACTAGGAACTAAAAAAAAAAAAACATAGTTGAAGTACTGAATCTACTGGAACATTAAGACCTCCCCCTTGCCTCCTAGAAATTTATTAGCAGAGTATGGATGGGTCTTATAATGATAAAATATATTAAAAAAACACCTTTTTCATGGATATTGGCCGTGGAAAGAGAAAAGTGTTGGGGTCTTTACCCTAGGTTAACATGGTACGTACGTTAATAAAATTTACCAGAACCAGAGACACGCAGTAAGATTGGAAATATCAGCAAAATGAAAAAGCAAATCAGAGGGCACCAATCAATTCTAAAGCTTAAGACTCACTTCACATGCAATAGGAACATTTAATCAACAATCACACTGTATTCATTTACATGTATGGATGCCTAAAACAGGCAAAGAATTTAATATATGACTAGTTTTTCCTTTTTAAGTACACCACCTATGCAAAATGCCCAAGTCAAGGCAAATAGGACTACCTTAATTTCTTCTGATAAAATAATATTACACCTGGATAAAATACAAAAAGTATTAAAACAGTGTTAATTGATAGTTCTGGTCATAAGTTTCACTCTGATGTGTTCATACTATTAAGCACATACCCTATTTGTCTGTGAGAGATTTGAACCCTGTCTCATAGATCGTTTGATTTCATCATATCTGTAAAAGGAGATGCAGGATAGTGATTTATACACTTTAAGCTAGATACTTAAATAAAATTTTTGATGAGGAAACATACTGTACAAATCTTACTTTTTGACTTTATCAGGAATGCTAGCATGCTCCAAGGGCAGTAGATCGTACAACTCATCAAGTGAGTTAACAAACCGTAGTTTCCTGCTAAATTTAGAGCTGGAATCCAAAGTAAAGTTGATGTCAACACTATAATTAGTGCAAGGAAAATGACTTTAAACTTCACAGAACATACCTAATAAACGGCTTTGTCATAACAACAAGAGTTTTAAGCCAAAATGTTGGATGGACAATATACAATCCTTGAAGTGTTTTGCGAAGTCTACGATCGATTAACTGATAGCATCTTTTAATCCAGGGAAATGTTGGAATAACACTTCGTCGAGTTGCCCCATGAAGGAAGATTAAAACATAGTCCTCTGTTATCAGTTGATCTAAAGTGGTTAAAACATACCTAAAACAAATAATGTTAATAAATCTTTAAAGACCAGGATAAAAAAATAAATTTTAAACAGAAAATTCCTAAATAATGAAACAGAATACTTACAGGAATAAATTATCCATGACATAATCATAATCAACTCTGCTTTTGTCTGGGAGAAAGCATGCACTGAAAACAATGATAGCATTGTGGCACCCAGCTGATAAATAACCACCATGAGAGAGAACCTGAAATTAATGAATTCTATTTTGAGAAATCATTACTGACTACTGACTTGAGTCTGACAAGTGTTAATGCTTACTCGTTTGTAAGGCTCAATAACCTTCATATCAATTCTTCGCTCATCACCGGCAACTGTCACTGTCCTCCAGTGTCTTGCCTCACTTCGCTCTTCAGCAGCTGTTAGTTCGGGAATAGCTTCAGGCGTCATCTCAACATTGTCAAGACCTAAATGGTTTGGGAATAAAATTTAAGAGAGGTGCTATACTAATTAGTTACATATACAAAATCTTTGCCACACTCACTTACACTCAAGAATGGAGTCTTCTAATTCATCAGGTGAGTCCATTTCAGGCATAAATGTATCGTCTAATTCGGTATCACTCCCACCAGGTGAAGCAGAAGAATCCCGAGCTGTATACATTTGTTCTGTTAATGTAGTGTCTGTTGCAGTATCAGTATCAGTTGCAACAGAACTAAGGACATCCGCAGTAACTTTTATTTTCCGTCTTCTGCTTAAGCTCGATCCAGGTAAGCTTTCAGATCCTTGATAGAGCGGATCTAGTAAGAATAATAAAACAAATAAAATTTTAAAATTCTCTCAATTATAATAATAAAAAAAAGATCACTAAACCTAAATCATGCATTCATTGCAATACATGCCTTTTTTTAACTGAACATTGTTGCAGTCGGGGGACAGATATGCTTGGTACATGGACCTATCCTCTTCATCCTCATCCCTATCGCAGCAGATAGAAGTCTCTGAAACCAGAACAAAAGCTTTACTTCTCGAACAAGATATTAGTGAATTTGAAAAAGGACAGTTAAAATACCTGAACTTGAAACTGGAGAACTGTATTCTAACGGCAATGGCACTCCTGATGCCTCCAACTTTTGCCGTAGCTCTTGAGGACTTTTAGGAAAGGCAACTATAAAATAGAGATTTTGAAGAAAAAGAACTCATTTACTCCTTTCCTTTTGACAAAAGAAAAACAGATTAATAATTACGGAGTCTGTTTAGTTACCTGTTTCCACTTTGTAAGCATCAAGCGGAGGTAGGTCCAGATCTAAACTTTCAAGGCTAATGGTAGAATCTTCACGATTTCTGGACTCAAATTTAATATCAGGAAGTGGAGCATTTCTATCAATGCTAGGCCGAGAAAACGCTGCTAGAGCGACCCCCTTTGGCATCATAGCATATTTAGCCAAAGCTTCAAACTCATCAGGATCTACATCTTTGAGAGGGTGGTCGTTAGTTGTATCTCTTCTAATAAGTTCAGATTGTACTTCAGATGACGAGGATGCTTCCGCAGTTCTATAGGGAAGACCATCTTGTACTGTAGTCATCTAGTTAATGAGAAAAGAAGACAAATGAGGAAAACATCAAACAAAACATGAAGAAAACTAATAAATGCCTAAAAGAAACCTCAGCAGCCTCAGCCTCAGCTGAGGCCGACAAATGATTCCATTTAACCAAAGTTTTTATGATGAGTTGTGCTTAAATATAGAGAACATCTTTCTATCGAAATAGTTTTACAGCGCCCGATCGGTGTCCTCCTGAAAACTTACTTTTAAAAGAGGTACGTTAGCTGAAAAATCAGAGAAGTGTTGCTGCCTTGGAAGGTCTAAACCAACATGAAAACAAACGTTAAGAGACTAATTCAAATCAATCTATTACTTCGGAGTTTTTCTTGACCGACAACACCGACCCCTCCATTGAAGCAAAAAGTTTGACAACTAACTGAATGACAGTAGCTGACCGCGTCTTGATGTCTTGATCCGCGATCCGCCCTATGTTGTCGGTAGTGTTTTGTTTAATATTTTGGTGTCCTCCCCCCTCCCCTTTCCCTCTCTCCCAGGTGGCGGCGGCTTTCGAATTTCGAAAATTCTTCACCAGTCATCTCGCCTTGAGAAAAGGCGGCCCTTTCTCAAGCATCTCGCAAAATCAAAATTTAACTTCGTGTATGTGTAAATGGTGTATTCACACAGCTGCAAAGGAGGCGATATAATCAGGCATTATTTAATAAATGAAAACATTTATTTTTCTTCAAAATTTTCTATTTTGTACCCTGAAAGCATACAATATCAACATTCCAAGATGCGGGAAGAGAAACCAAAGACAGCAGCAGTAAAGAACAATGGTGGCGTGTACATCTAATATAGCAGACCAGCTGCTTTTGGAAACAGGAGAATTTACAGAAAACATTTGGTCTGAGGCAATCGGGAGCTAGGAATCTGAACTGTTTGAGAAGTGGCTCTGGCCTGCCAGGCACTGCTGACAGAGGTGTGGAGACAAAGCACATATCAATTGCAAACTGTATATATTACAATACAAATATTACAATACAATGAAACTGACATCTTTAAATTCACTCTATTAATAGGGGTCACCCAAAACAAACACACACGGCAAAACAAAAATGCAAAATAAAGAGAACACTGATTATTTAAGATAAAGATTGAAACCATCATGATGAATTAAGTCTTGCTTGGTGAAGCGAGTGACCCTGTTATTTGTTTTGAGTAAACTGCTTAGCTAAAACCAGCTTGAAGTTGGCTCCCGTTCTCATTTGGCCAATCAGTTTCCTCAAAATAAATGACAGAGTGGCTCCAGCTTCACTGGCTTCACCAAGACTGAAATTGATCATAAGGGCTTTACACTTTTCTATAGAAACTTCCATTAAGATAGAATTATTTACCACATTGATTTACACATTTACATTTACTGCAGGGCAGTGATACAGAGGGAAATCATCTCATGTTTCAATTAAAAATATGGGGCATAACCCAACATCAAATTAACATGCAAACCACAAATTTTAGATAAGATCAGAAATGATTAGATACATGGTTAGCAAATTAAAAACCCAGTAAAAATTTCTCTTAATTTGATGAGTCTTGACACTAGCAGAAAACTTGGTTTAAGTGATAAGTTTCTGCTCCAAATTCACATAGTGGCAGTGATTTGTCACAAATATGTCTTTTGTTTGATAAGTTCTCTTCTCCCATCATTCCAATGAAATTACACCTTCCGACTTTTCACAGCAAAATTTGCAGTAAATCTATGTACAATTGAACGGAAAGCACCTGCGCATGCCTGTATGATAGTAATCATTTAAATTTCACTACAAATTTACCCAATTATAAGCTTGAATTTTCATTGTGAAAGAAAAAATAAGACAATTATTTCTGGAATTCTTCCAGGATTATATTCACAAAGAAGTTCATCTAGGGCACCCAAGCAACGCCACAAGACTAAAATGAATACAAACACACTAAAACAAAGAGGTTCTCCAAAATAACTTAAAAACAAATCATTGTTCCAGTAAAAAACTACAACCATCTCAGAACATGTTTCAACATATACAAGAGTTGTGAATGTTGAATTTTAACTAACAAACCTTACAACACTGGTATTTTCACAAACGGTTGAAGGTCAATTCTTAAAGGTTGACCCTTAGGAAAAAATACCTAGTCATGTAAGATAAGACAGTAGTGAAAATGCTGAAATGAGTATGCTAAGATGTGAAAAATAACTCAAAGGGGAAGAGATAGCTTCAGAAGACAAAGACAAATTACCAATGAAAGAAAAAGGAGACCCAACATATAATTACAGCTACAATAAAAATTGTAATCCTAAAACAAAGCTATTTCTTGTTTCAAAAATAATTAAGCTTGTCATGAAAAGTTCATATAACTTCAGAAGCACACAAAAACAATCCCAGAAACTAAGTTACGCAGTATCAAATAACCACTTCAGATTTAAAAATCATAGTTAAGAATTTGTTTTCCAGTCTTTTCATTTTAATTGTAGTGCTACTGCTCCCAGAATTTAAACAGGAATGTGCTAATCAGTACGCAATATGGTATTGTATACATAAAAATTGGCACTGTACCTATCCAGTTAGAGAGTTACAACTGGAATATAATTTGACAAGCACATTCCCTCTTTCATAAACTTTACATTTTACTTACACTCTTGCACAAAACAAGAAAACGATTGGTTGTTTATGATATAGGATCAATAATTAAGCATGAAAAGTATCAGAAATGTCACTCAAATATTTGATGATTCACTCAGAATGTTAACAGTAAAGTCAAGTTAGAACACACATGCTCCAAACAATTGTGGCACAATTAAACTTATCAGCACCCACCATTAAATTTATGGGTGTAGCGTCACTTGGGATCTATATTAACATGCTTTGAAATTTATCTAGCAGGCCACTACAGTTGATCTCTTGTCACGATTCTTTCCACGGGAGATTGTTCTTGCCTTGAAGGCTGCAGCATTCAGTAGATGCTGTGGGAGAGAGAAATGAATTAAGTTACAATGGCAGATTTAATAAATATATTAACATAGGATTCCAGAGGAACTTACCCTTTCCTGCTTTGTCTGTTTATTGCTTGCGTATGTCAGTGGAGTAACTTTCTCGCCCAGCTCAAATACATCCCTTAAAAGCTCATTTTCAGTTAGGTGCAAGTTCATGCCAGAGCCAAGGACTTGACAGAAAGCATCATACTGCTTTTTACGGCACCAGGAGTCTAAAAGGAGCATTTCCTGACCAAATCGAACTTGAACTTCAGGTGGAACATCATCCTGCATCATTCAAATGAAATTGTTGTGATGAAAGATAAAGATTACAAACTGTTTTAATTTTCAATAGTTAAAATAGAGTATTTTGTTAAAAATAAAATTAATCTTTATACTGACCTCCACATATTGAACTATATCCCTAAATGAGGAGCGTTGCGTTTTTCTATCTTTTTTGGCGCGGTACTTGTGCGAATCAGTGGCTAATTGTCTCAATTTGCCAACAAGCTCCTCTGTAACGTCTGAGCAAAAGTCAGAATCGTGTGTACGCCCTTGTTCATAAAGTAAAGCAATGACTTCTCCCGCAGCCAGCCGCAGGTCCAAATGTGCTGATTCCAGTAGTTCACTTAGCTGACTAAGCTCACTAAAAATAGATAAAAATCAAAAGTTTTCGTTAAAAAAAAAGAAGAAGACAGGAATTTAACTATGATCAAGTGAATAAACACTGAAGAAACTCACGGAAGGTAATTACAGTCTTCATCTGACATATACATAAAGACATCTCCAGGAGCCATTAGTGTTAACAACAAACTCCAGGCTGAGAGAGCAGCTGCATGCAAGCCACCAACTTCTGGGGTAATTGTTGGTAAGGTCCCATCACCTTTCAAGTATGAACCAGAGAAGATGGCTTCCAAGGCTCGCATTCTCTCCATAACATCTTGCATCTCCCCTCCAGCAAGGAAGGTCAACAAACCCAAGGCCCAGCAACACTAAAATAGTAAATAAAAAACTTGATAGGACAATTTGTACATTATATCATAAGTTAAACAAATAATTTAATTTGAGTAGCAGACAACAGACTTCTTCCAAACAAATCAGGGTAAGAGCAAAAAATAAATAAACTAGACAGAATCCAACTTACTTTGGCTCGAGCTGCTGCTGGGACTGAGGGGTCTCTTGCAACAAGCATCAAAACGGGAGTAAGATCACGGCAAAGTTCCTCTGAACAATCACCAACACCAAGCTGCACACACATTAAGGGAGCTAATTGGGCAGCCGCACCCTGTTCTGCACCCCTGCCTCGTTTCAAACTACGCTCAATGCCATCAGCTACCGTCAGTCGCCTATGAGATAACAAGAACAATTTAAAACTCAAAACTAATGAATTGGAAAGCAAAAATACAAACACCTTTGTAAAGAAAGTAATTTAAATCACCTGTCAACAACAAAATCTGGAATGAAGCGTTTGGTGAATGCTTTGCAAATTGCTTCAATGCATTGGGTTCGTCCTTGGGCAGACTTCTGACTAAGACCATCAATTGCGTCTCGTAGTTTTTCTTCAAATTCTTCTTCAATGCTGGTTTCATCTGTTTCATTTTCATTTCCTACAGCAAAAGCGGAAAAATTGCACATAAATAAAGAGATGATGAAACGAAGGTCTTGTTTTCAGTTCAATGATATTCTTACCTTCTTCAACAACACTTTTTGAATCTGAAGCAAGACTTATAACACTGGCATTATCATTCATAGAATCTTCGTCTGACGTGATTCCAAGGGTTCCATCTGGCCGTATTTTAGGGGCTGAAGACCCTGAAAAGATGTAAATGACTTTTGACATAAACTGTGCAACAGTGGAATAGCTCCCAATCAAACATAATCATTGAGATACAAAAAATGCTGTTTGATAGGAATTCTCCACTCTACTAAAAGCAGGAACCAGAATGAAAAGCCAAAGGTCAACCAAAACATCAACTGAGAAGCCAAGACAGTAACAGAATACAGATAGAGAAAAAAGTACATTGCACCTGCTAACAACTCAGAAGTCTAATTAAGGGATCAAAGAGAGGCTGCATGTGGAAAAACATTAGGGAAAACTGTAAAATCCGTGCAGAAACAGAGAACAACAGCACGATCTCAAATCAAAACACGCAATATTGTGAAACACTCGGGTAACAACAATGACATTCCAGCAAACACAAACAGAGGAAGGCATCAGAGCTACATCACAAAAACTGTCATGTCCTTCAAATTTCCTGCAGTGATATCTTAGCGAAAATGTGGCTTAACAGTCTCAAGGCTACGTGAAAACCAAAGAACTCAAGGTTTACCTGACTTTCCCTTGCGTTTTCCTTTAGGCATGGTAAACTAATTAATCCTCCCTAATATCCTCAAGGATTACACTGATGATCAAGAAGGTAAACAACCTGATATACTACGTATTCTGAAAAATCTGGAAACTTGGCATGAAAAGACAAACGTGTGAAATCTCATACACATGATGATTCACAACATACGGGTCAGCCTCTTCACAAGGCTAATATGGCGCGTAGACGGTTGCCTACCCACCGCGTGCACGGCAACAACCTTGACAAAAACACAAGCCCATTCACATTGATATACGTTAGTGAATTAGAAACAAATATGAGAAATTTAGAAACCGTAAATTATCTGAAAGGACACTCCTTTCCTTTCTCAGAAGCAGGCTGTGGCATGGCATCTGTGCTGCCCTCTGCTGTTGGAGCTTGACAGGCCACGTCACTTTTCGGTGTTTTGGCGAGAACCAAATCGATAAAAATGAACATATTTAGGCTAACGGGTGATCTTTCCCATCTTCTAGCTATTATTATTCTTCTCGTGAAGATTTGGAAAACACGATCATGTGCTGGTAAGACAACATGTTTAATTAAACATTCACTGTGATAAGCTTTTAGCTACCGGCTCTAGGGTGGATTTTGACCAGTAAAGACACGTCTGCTGTTTTCTTTGGTCTCTATCATTTGTATTTTGCAGCATTTCGTTGTAATTCTGTAAATTATGTTTAATGTATCTTGTCAGCATACCTATATACACAAATATTTTTCTGTTAATTTTGGAAGTTTTTGTGTGGCGCTAACCTCTTACTGACAGTATTTTTCACGGCCTGCAAGGCAGCTAGTTCTTCATTGTTTATTCTCGACCGGGTTTAGTTTTAATGTCCCATTCTGACGAGCATTTACCCATCCAATCTGTGGCGATTTTTTTTATTTTCAAGACTGTGATCAGTCTTTTTGTGTTGTATTGTTAGACTAGCTGAATACGTGCTAATATCAGAAACAGCTGAGTTTTTTCCATTGAGTTGTCTCTATGCCTGAATTCATGTAAATGTTCTCAATCAACTTATATTTTTGTTAATCCTTTTCTTTTGGCCTCGTTTTGTTTCAGGAATCTCAGGAAAATCACAACTTCTCTTTGCACTGGTCTACACGACTCGCTACCTGGATCTCGTCAGTACTTATATATCAGCATATAACACATTCATGAAGCTTATTTTCATATGTGCTTCCTACGCAACAGTGTATTTAATTTACATGAAGTTCAAGGCAACCTATGATCACAACCATGATACGTTCAGGTACATAATTGTTTAAATAATTGTAAGTTCCCCGCTTTAATTTTAATTTGACTGCATGTTTATCTTCTTTTATGTTTACAGGGTTGAATTCCTGATCTTGCCTTCATTTGTTCTCTCTCTCCTCATCAATCATGATTTTGCTGTTCTTGAGGTATGCTGAAGTTTTGTTTGCTGTACTTAGGACCAAGATAAATTTTTCAATTATCTTCAATTCTTTATGTATAGATTCTGTGGACCTTCAGCATCTATTTGGAGTCAGTGGCTATTTTGCCCCAGCTGTTCCTTGTGTCCAAAACCGGAGAAGCTGAGAGTATTACATCCCACTATCTCTTTGCTTTGGGTAAGAAAGTACTCCAATGGGCTGCTCCAGTAATCCAAGATAGATCATATTAACTCTCCTTTGTTGCCCTCTTTATTTTATTACTTTAGGGTCCTACCGAGGATTATATCTGCTGAACTGGATCTATCGTTATTACGCTGAAAGTCATTACGATCTCATCGCCATTGTTGCTGGGGTTGTTCAGACAGTTCTGTACTGTGACTTCTTCTACCTCTATGTAACCAAAGGTAAACACTTGAAGAAAGTTTTCATGCAGCAATATTGATATGCCTAATTAATTTATGTCTTTTGTTATGTTCCAGTGCTGAAGGGCAAGAAGCTCCAACTACCAGCCTAAAACCTGGGCAATCTCCAACAGCTCATGATGTGTAACCTTTTACTTCCTTGTGCGAATTGCTTTAATGCACGTACAATACTGTAATTTGCTCTGCAATGCTTAGTGGGATAGCTTGCAATATGGAATGCAAAAATCACCTGGGAGATGCTCTTCCATTTAAAGTGCTGCTGAGTATTTATTAAAGGTCCCTGCATATGAATGATCTGTTTGTATTTACTGCAGAGTATTTGATGTGATAGAATACATTATCAGAAAGGTGGAAAATTTCAGCTATGTTCACTCACCTGTGCAAACTTCTTCTCAATTCAGCAAGCATGTGAAATGGGTTACATTTGAAAGGATGACTTCCATGGTGCTTCTTGTTTACCAAGACTTTTTAATTGACATTAAGTGTGTTTTCTTTTTTACTATTATTGTGTTTGAGGTACAATATTAACTGATGTTGTACCTGGTGTATCTGTAGATATTAGCATTGATAGATGCATTTTCCTTTTGTTTAGCCTTTATTTTATGGGATCTAATGAACTTAAGTTAAAAATAATTATTTGTTCAATCATTAATATTTACATCCAAATTTACATGAAAACTACTAGTAGAGGAGGAATTAGAGTTCTTCAACAACTCATTTTATATTAGTAAATACAATTTTTTTTTATCCACTTTGATTCTTAAATTGAACATGACTGAATGAGAAGTATTTTGGAGTACTAGTAAAGATTGTCAAGTTTTGTCAGTTAAGTTTGAAAATGAATTTTTTGAAATATGTGACCTCTTTTCTTACATTGTGGGCAGCTGTAAAGATGTTCACAGGAGACTGAGTGAAAGAGAAAATCTGTTCTGGTAAACTGTAGCCTAGAAAAATCATAAGTTAATGAAAAGTAAAGATCTTGAAGAGAGATGCCTTGCCTAGTACTCTTGTAGGCCTACCAAAATTGTGAGTCATTTCAAAGCCACTTCAGTTGTTTATTTCAATTACACGAGTTTGTAACATCATTCAAAAATGTTAGAAATACCAAAGTGATCAGCGCTGTATTCCAAACACAAATAAACGTTTTTCTAAACAGATACATTTTGAGAAGCTACAGCATTAAATCAGCATCTTTCACAGAGGCGAAAGGTAGCATCTATATTTGTTGCTTTCTTCAATAAAGTCATTTCCATCAGACAATGAGTATTTAGTGTCATAGTAAAGCCAAATATAAATCATTTCATGTTCATTGTTGTTATTTATTATGTTTAAGAGAGCTGCCCTGAAATTCAGGCCACAAAGTAACCATTACATCCATAGTGTGTCTAAGGAAGTAGTATATGGTTGACCATTGAGTCATCTAATTTAGGTTGTTCTGCAATACTGGTTCCTTGCAATTAATATTACATAATTCTCCAGTAACTGGAAAGCATGACTAATGGCGACGTCTTCAAATGTGTTGCTAGTCCTCTCCTAACTGGATAGTGTTTTTACCTAGCATTAAAGAAACCTTCAGCATTACTTTTGCTGTTGGATCCTTATGACTCGGATCCAGAAGATGTGTCTGAATAAAAATAGCAGTCTTTATCTATATATTATCACTTAATTTTTAGTTGTTTTTGATTTTTTTTTAAATTGTACTTGTTCATGAAGAGTTGCAGCATAAAGACAGAATTTTTCCCTTTTAATAAAAAGACCCTAAAAATAAATATTTATTAAGACTATTTATTTTCATTTTTACACAATGACCATCAGTAGTTTTTCACAAGTAATGTCATGTATTCTGGAACTTTGCTAATGTGCACCTGCTCCTGAAATTAACACAAAAATGATAAACTCTCATTAGATAATGAAAATACCACAATTCTTTTGCAGAAATTACCTTTAAGGTTGTCTCACGACTATACATCCAAATAATGCCATCATTCAGTGTTGAATCAGTGAGTACAATTGTAAAAGGAATACCCATTTCATCATTTCTTGCAAGTTGAGAGTCATGAGACTTTTTGGCAATATCAGACAATAGTAGAGTAGTTAAGCCATTCTGACGCAATGATCGAGACAAATGTCTTGCTACATCCAAAAGCCTATCAGCCACAGTTGAATCTGAAGAATGAATACTCAAAGATTTATCACCTCCATATAGTTAAGTATATGATATTCAAATTATAAAAATTGTTATTTGTTGTAATTTCCTATCTTCAGGTTACCTGTAAGACTAATCACAAAACCAGCTTTTATAGGAGAAAGGCGCCGATGTAATCTCAGCAACTGTCTTCTTGAATTCTCTAAAAAAGCATCACACAAAAATACTAGTGATGCAATTTCCAAAGACAAAATGCATTCCACCAAGAAAGGTAACACTTGTTTTCGCCCATCTTTGGCCTGAAATTAGAATATAATCAGCTAGATTAAAGACACGACAAGTGTAATAGGACATAATAAAACTTAGTTTAAAACAAAACTGCACTTTTAAAATTTCGATTTGTTTATCGGACAGATCCCCTAAATTTAAGGGTAAAAGGCGAATAGTCTCTATGGTTGTAGAGCCCCAGTCAAACTCAGCTAGAATATTAACCATCAAGTCACTACTGTCATTAATTTTATCATTCATTCCAGACTCCTTTATATCGGAAAGGGAAAAGCGCCCTGGGTGAGATGAAAACTAAAATGACAATAAATATGGGTTAGATGAGATTTTTAAAATAAGTTTGCAACTAACTTAATAAAATGTGAAATTGATCAAACCTTTCTCCACCACATTTTGCGTTTCTGTTGCCAGGTGTAAAATGCTTGTCTTCCATCATTAGGAGATACAAATAAGAGGGATCGTAAAAAAGTTTGATGGTCTGGTTTGAACACTTGATGAGGTTGTTCAGCTTGGAGTCTGTTTTTGAGCATTAAGTTATCATCTGCAATGGTCTGTGCAATTCCAAATGGTAGAGTACCATTACACAGACTCTTAATGTGGTCATAAGTTTCATGTATCCCATCAAAATCTACACAAACAAAGAATTTAATAACTTTAAGATGTGCTAATTTTGTTTAAAGTACAAGAAGCTCAAAAATAATGCAATTATACCATTTGTAAGACCATCTGATCGGTTAAGACGTGACTGAACTGGATAAAAATTTTCATCACGATTGACGACACTACTGTAGTGCCATTCTTGCCTTACATTATTAACAAGGAATTCACCAACAGGGCCAAAATTCAGCCTTGTTACCTCTGAGCCATGCCAAAGGGGTTTCACAAATCCATGTTTTTCACACAGATGTAAAATTTTTTTCAGAGACATTATGTTGTTAACATTTTATGCAAATATAAAATTATTCAGAACTCATTTAAGTTCATTCAGATCACCGCTAACTAAGGGTATGTTTCCTGGAGGAGCAACATAATAGCCTTCCTCCGTCTGAGATGCTGTCGATAGAAGGACACTTGCACTGGGGGTTTCAGTGACTACATCTTCTCTCAAAAAGAGCACCCTGCAAAATTGGTATCGACACAGATCAGACAAGAAAAGTAACAATAAAATAAACAACATGAAAAGTTTGACTTACTCATTTTCCAGGACAGAGACTAAGGGTTCAACTCCTGTAGTATCAACAGCATCCAACTGATCAGCAAACTTGATAGCTTCTTCAAGCCTTGATAGTCCTCTCTTGTTACCAAAATCGACCAGGGAAAGCCTCTCAAGATGCTTTATTGTCCCTTCAGTAATAATTCCGGATGAGGAACCTTCAACCTCTTCAAGGGGCCTGTGTGTTGAAGAGAGTCCACTGCTAGCGCGAATGACAACCCTTTGGCACGAACGTGAAATCAGATTGTAAAGGAGCATTTGATTCATATTTGTCCAATCTCTCACTCTTAACTCTTAACTCTTGAGAGAATCCATGAGCTCCGTAGAGGTTAAGCAGCACACAACAGTTTCGAATAACGAGTCGCGATTTCTCATACTAAATCGTAGCCTCAAGGCAAGGTTCTCTTTTGCTCTATAGAGCGTTGCAGGGAAGGGGGGGGGGGCATGAGGAGAAAGGGAAGGAGAAGGGGGCCCGGGGCTCAGGCCGCGGAGGGGCAGGTCACCCCGCACACCGCACACCCGCCCCCCTAGCCCCCTCCGGCAGCAGAAGAGCAGCGGCGCCCCAGCCGAGCACAGCACAGTCGAAGTTTTGCAACGGAGCGTAGTGGACCAGCGTCGCGACGCTCCTGACCACCTGCAAGCCCGTCACGATCCTGGAGCAGAGAGACCGTCGCCGCCCGACAGACGGCCCCGACCAAAAGTCTTCGAAGGAGAGGTTCCGCCGATCGACGGATCGAAGTTTCTTTCGCAGCGTGTGTACGCGAGGGACGGCGCGCCCCCCTAAAGTGACACAGCCTGGACCTGTGCTGCCCCATCATGTCTGAGGAGAAGTTTGCCAACGCGGGCAAGGTGGCCGGCCTGGAGATCTGGAGGGTCGAGGTGAGTCGAAGCCACAGGGCCGAAGAGAATAGTTCTTTGTTTGTTTGTTTTTTTCGAATGCAGCGACACGTAAGGTACCCTCAGTTTTTGCAGAATGATAGAGAGTCGGTGACGGCGGAGACATGCAAAGCGAGCAGGGTCGGGGAATGACCATAGGGAACCGCTTCCGCTTCACTCAAACCCGGTCTCGCTCGGCCGAATGGGTTGCCCACCCTCTCCCCCAAAATGAAGGGTGTGATTGAAGTATCTTTCCACCCCCCAACCATTCGCTCTCATCACGTCTAGACAAGCCTTCTTAATTTGATTTCCGTTCCCCCGAGATTACACTCCTCCTGGGTCTGGTCTAGCTCCGGCCGCGACACGACGCCACCCCCACGACCCCCACCCGCCACCCTACGGAACTCTCCCCGTCCACCCCCGGGGGACTCTGTTGCGTCCCTTCGTCCGTGTGGCGCCGTCTCCGTCTGGGGCTCCGTCCATCGACTCTGACACCCTCACCCCTGCGATAGAGCTGTGAGCTCGACTTTCGCGTTAGGACTCGTCCAGAAAGTACGTCCGTCGTTCGCCGTTCCGAAATTGACAAGTTCTGCCCGTGCGAGCTTTCATAGCGCCTTACGGGTAGGCCACATCTTGTGTGCAGTGCACACGTGTACCGCGGGCTGGCCTACCCGGAGTCTCGCAGGCGTCGAGCACCTGTAATTTGATGGATGAATCTGAGAAAAACGGACGTACTTTCTGGAAGACCTCTTACGGGAGTAGTTGTGCCTCCGACATGCACGGCCTCTAGCTTACGTAGCTCATGCAAATCCCACGCAGGGAGATGAAGGGTGGGGGGCACAGAGGCACAAAAGGGAATGACACGAGTGACGGGCGCCCGTGAGTGAGTCACTGAGGGAGGACCCAGAGCTTCTGAGTTAGCACGCTACGCTTTTGTTGGCGTATGGCTTGTATAGTTAAGCTCGGGTCAAGCGGTGGCTGCAAACCGCGTGTGGGCTCGCCTTACCTATCACCACGATCGCCATACTGACCGACCGAGGCGGCGCTCCGTGCGAGCAGGCCACCCGCCCGCCCGCCCGCCCGCCCGCATGCGGTACAGCATAACTACACCGCCAAAAGTGTAGTAGGGCGCAGAGCCGGCCAGACGGCCGTGTGCCCCTCGTCCTAGTGCCCCTAAAGGGCACCTTGAGCTGCGACGCATTCCGTGACCGGCTTTTGTTTCGTGTCCTCGGCGTCGGGTCGGCGGCGCGACGGCGGGTCCGGCCGGGCCCGGGCCGCGCGGCACGGCGGCGGCGGGCTTCCAGGCGCGCTCTTGTCGTGTGGCGCAAGGACGGGTCATTGCGCTGCCCCGGCTCCCGCCCCGCCGCCGCCGACCCGACGCCGCCCGCTCGCCCCGGGTCGCTCCGGGGGTCACCCCGACAACAGGGCGGCCAGGCCGAGCCCCTGCAATGCAAACGGCAATAAGTCTACTCGCGGGGGGCGGGCGGGACCAAAACTAGAAAGGAAAACCTCGTTACACAGAGTCGCTGTCGTCGCGAGGGCTCGAGAGTCCCTACTTACTGGGGGAGACTGCCTCTGTGGCCTGCAGTGCAAAGGAACAACGGAAAAGGGGGCGTGATTGGATTTGACAGCCCTAGACGAGCCCTGGACTTCCTATCGAGCCGCTACGGAAGTAGCGAGTCGGGCATGACTCTACGACCCAAGGAAGGAAGGAAACGGTCCCTTGCTCCGCGGCCCGTCAGACAGCCCCCCCCCCCTTTCCCCCACTCCGAGTCACCGCTCTCCTTCTCCTCCTCCTCCTCCTCGCCGCTGTGATGATGATGTTCTGCTTTCGGTGGGAAAGCGTCCATCGCGTATGAGTCACCGGGACCGCGCGCGTCCGCGAACCAGTGGCGTAGCTGCAGCCGCCGTGAGGCGTGACGCGCACAGAGTAGGGCCTCAACGTAGTGAGGGCCGGCGGATGGCGTGGCGGGGCGTGGCGGGGCGTGGCGGGGCGTGGCGGGGCGTGGTGTGG